TCTTTTTCTTTCTTTTTCTTTCTTTTTCTTTCTTTTTCTTTCTTTTTTTTCTTTCCTTTTTTTCTTTTTTCAATACAATATTTGAGTATTTTAGAAAATCCTGACTTGGATGAAGAATAATGTGAACAATCAAATCCAAATTTTAGAAACCAGGATTTTTTCGTTAAAAAATAGATGTTAGTCAGGAGACTTTTCTTATAAAATCAGAAAACTTTCTATGCAAACTAGAAGGAAAATAACGACTGTGTCACGTACCTTTTTTTCGAAAAAGTAAAGCTTTTCAGCCTCAAATATTTATATTTTTAGTTTTTAATCAACGAGCAATGAAAAGGTCTATCTGAGTGCACGAAATAAAGAAAAACAGAAAGATAATTACACATAATTAATTTTACTGGTCTTTTCAAAGCTGTTTATTGAAAAATATGAACAAAACAGATACAGAAGGGTTTTAAGAAACCGCAAAAGAATTGAAACTGAACAGAGTAAATCATTTCCTAGGTCTCTTTTTGATATCGTTATTTCACGATTGTATTTTTCTTCTGAGTGAATTAGTTTCAACAGTTCTTTACTATTTCAGAGATTTTTTATTTTAATTTTGAACTCGATATCCATTAGGATCGTTTTTCATTCTATTCTTATTATCATATCATCAAAAATTTATGACTGAAACTTGAGTCATAATTAGTTCTTTAAACTCATTATTTATTGATCAATATCAGCACTGGAACTGGATCAGTTGTAAAAAAATCAATCGACCCGTAGAGATGGGAGTTTTACGAATTGAAATTTTTCAAAAGTCTTCTTTGTCGATCTTGTTTCTGTTGGATGTCTTATACATGCTCTCCGAAACAACACCCTCGTACAAAAGTCTTTCCTGTTGTTGTTTCATTGTTCTCATACTTTGTATAAAATTTATTGCCGAGTAGAGATATGACTTGAAAGTTCTATTGTATTATGGTCTGTATATCATATAGAAATAAAACTCTCAAGTCATATTTTTACTCGGCAATAAATTCTATACAAAGTATGAGAACAAAGAAAAGAAGAGAGGAAAGACTTTTGTTCATGAGTGTATCTCATATTGAGCCCATTTTTCCATAAAAACTATCTTCAGGATGGGTGTGGATTTGAGTGTGAATGAAAAGAGTAAACACCCACACCCACGCTCAAGACCAGAGATTTTACTGAATCTCATCATCAAAACTAAGATATTATCCATTCATGTGTAGGATATGTGAGATGTGTCAACATAAATCTAACACATAACTTACAGCGAGAACAATATAGTATTATTTTAATGCTCCATGTTATAATTTGCATGTAATTTATTCTATATTTTTTATGCTTTGTTTTGATTTTGCTATCCAAGATCATATTCATATTACAAGTCATCGAGTTTCTCCTCTCACTACCCAACAAAGACAAAAGCAATTTGTCATAGTTAATTCACTCTTATCATATTCATTTGTTTTCTTCGTCTTCTTCGTGATGTTATTGCAAGTAGATATACCATCTTTTTTATTATTTACCTGAACAGCTTCATAATTGTATACTATCAACATACTTCAACGACTTTTTCTTTATCGACTGACATATTTGATCATATTTCAATGGACTTTAAACGTACGAAGAGTTACCACTTTGCTAACAATATTTGTATATAAATATTTTAGAAAGAACTCATATTTTATTTTCTTGAGTTTTGTACAAAATATAGAAAAAGTACACAGTAGTATTGGAAAAATATCTTAAGAAACTAGGTCATTATTTGTAATGATGAAACAAATTGGATTTATTTTGAGAAAAGAAACAGATTTAATTGTGTTCCTGCATACTAAGAAAAAATAGACAAGTTCTTCGTAACCCTTCCGGGAATTGCGAGACGTTTGTGCATATGGCACCTGCACGACACTTGCAATAAATAGTTATAGTGACTACACCCACATCCACCCATCCTGTTATCCAAATATTCCGTTTTATTCGTATTAATTAATCCAATAATAGAAAAATAGAACATCATTTTTCTATTCATATTCACACGTTTAATTTATCCCATAATATATAAATAGTACAGAAAAACAAATCACTTTGCGTGTGAGAATCATGCACGCGAATGTAGTGCCTTGCCTTCGAGACCAGTAACACTTATAAGCGTTCAAAACGTTGTCTTCAAAAACAGACAAGAATAAATGTGTTCACAGTGACAGATTCGTTGGTATGCATAAAATCATAGACAATGTGACAAGTTTTTTCTAATAAATTGTTTTCCTTACACGATATTAATACACAGGGAAAGAGAAATCAGCAGACTCTCTAAACGTTCTTGTCTTATAAGCTTTCAAAAAACAAAACCCTCTAGAAAAAGGTAAACAGCGTCTTTTCCATTAAAATAAAAACCACTGGCATTATTCTTTTTTTGTTTTATTCTGACGACACAAGGTTAGAACACCTATTAAAATGCAATAATTCATGGTCATATTGTAGAATGACGTACTCAGAATAATTATAACATGAAAGTTCCTTTTTCAATAGTTATTGTCATGACTTAAATTGTATACCGATTTGTAGACATCAAAATATAAACGATTAGAGGAAAAAACAAATAAACTATAACTCGGGATGATTGTTTCATCATAGATTAAGATTATGTCATTCACATTTTGAAGATGTGGATATTTAGTAGAATTATGTACTATAACAAATATTTGTTTTTCTTATACTTGATATAATGAATAGTTTGATGTCACAAAAACCTTTTGTATCTGCATCATTTATCATTATTAGCCTGCTTCACTGAGTGAATAGTTTTGACATTTTACTTCCTTAATTTTCATAGTTCATCTACGTTATTTATCTATATTATTAAGCCTTACAGCTTTTTTAATATTTGTGTATTTTAATAATCTAACAGAATGACGTATCTCTCTCTCTTTTGTTTTTCTAAGAACTCTAATTGATGTATATAAAGTATTATAGAAAAGAAATTTAAAGAAATCAAGACAAAAAGAAACTTCTTCAATCTATCATGCGTTTAAATGAGCAAATGCGTTTGACTCGGCAGATGTTTCACCACATATTTGAATAAATTCCGAAAGAAAACGCGTTCACATGCATCGGATATTTCATTTTGATCGCGTCTGAACACACTTCCTTCCGGGGCATTAAATACGTTTAGAGTTAAAAGATTTTTACATTTTCTCAAGATTTGATATATGAATTTCAACAAAGTATGAAAATGTGATGGCAAAATAAGATACTTTTAGTGGAATCAACTATTTGTTTTTTAAACAATATTATAATATTTCTAGATTTATAAATATGTCATCAGATTCCAGTATCAATCTACTTACATTTTTTACTAATCAAATCACTTTGTATTGTCCTATTTTAATTATTATTATTGGAAATATTGGATGTTTCTGCAATTTTCTTACTTTTACTTCACCTAAATTAATACAAACTTCATGTTCACTTTATTTTCTTAGTGCAGCTATATTTGATCTTTTAACTCTTGACTATGGAGCATTGACACGATTACTTATAGATCATTTTGGATCTAATTTACATAATACTTCTCAAATTTATTGTAAAATACGGCAATATCTTATCACTGTTTTGCCTGCTATCGCTACATGTTTTATTGTTCTAGCAACAATGGATCGTTATTTTTCTACATCATCAAAACAAAAATATCGTTCATATGCTACAATAAAATATGCTAAATGGATAGTCTCTTTATCACTATTGATTTGCATCTTATCGTATACACATTATATGATATTTTATGATTTAAGACCAACATGTACCTTCCTACCAGGAGTATATAGTATGTTTGTAGTGGTGTATGCTATAGTTTGGTCATCATTTATTCCACATCTTTTAATGCTTTGTTTCGGTTTTGCTACCCATGTTCATATTCATATCATACGTCGTCGAATTGCTCCTTCTACTATTCAACAAAGACGTAAACGACGAACAGAAATACAACTTGTTACAGTCAGTTTAGTCATATCATATTCATTTCATGTTCATTTATTTTCTTCTTCTTGTTCTAGATGATGTTATTTCAAGTAGGTATATCATCTCTTTTAATATTTATGCGAATCGCTTATTATTCATACTATATAATTACAACTGGTAGACAGAAAACAGATTATGCCGTCGCAATGGGAAATTTTTTTTCTCAATTAACCACACAATTGTTTTATTTAAATTATGCTAAATCATTTTATATTTATACATTATCAAGCAAATATTTTCGAAAAATATTTAAGCGAAGAGTTTTAAAAATTCTTCAAAAATTTCTTCCTTATCCACTGGCTCGTTTAATTATAAATAGACCGAGTCTAAGTGAACATGGAAGTATAAAATTACATACAATGCATGTGAGAACAACTACCGCATATCCATAAATATAATGAATACACACAAACTTGATATAAAGACAGTTTAACTTTTCTTTTTGTTGTTCTTTAAAATCTTATTGAATAAAGAAAAAACTTCATATAAATTTTTTTTATACTACTTCTTTTTTCTGTATCTTAAAGTGCATTCATCTCCAATTGCCAACTATCATGCTAATGTGTTCTTTTTATGAATCCACGTAATTGATGTTTAGCTATGTGTATTATAATACAAAATATATTGTTCTTCTAAGATTTCGTCTGATTTCCAGGTGTCGTGAATTCAATATGTTGAATATGAAGAAATAAATGTAAAATTTATTTGAATGCATGAAGAATCTCAAGTTTCAATTGTTGCATGTTTCTTTTTTATTACAAAGATAAAATTCAGAGCACTTCGTGTTACAAAAAAAATTTGATATTACTTTGCTTTTCTTCTTTTCTAGAATCATATACTATCTATGTATACATTCATGCCTATACTAGACCAAGATAGATATAGAGCTCAATTATTATCATTGAAAGATGAATTCATCAACAGAACCAAGTGAAATGTTTTTTATTATTGTTTTTTCATTCACTGGTATATTAATTTTAATTGGTACAGTTATATCACTAATTATTATTATATGTGTTAGCATGAACAATACACTTCAATCTGTTTCTACTCTTCTATCTTGCAATTCATGTGCTTTAGGTTTATTCTATTTTATATTTCATACATTTTATATTATTTTGGCATTTTATCCATTACCTACTTATCGACAAAATTCTATTTTATGTCAAACTATTGGCTATTTGTATTCAGTAACATGTTGTGGTATTAGCTGGTCTCATGCGATTCTTGCAAGTAATCGTCTTTGTTATTCACTTTTTTCACAATATCGATGGTTACTTACATATACATTTGCATGGTGTCTTATTGCTATTCATTGGATTTTAACATTTACTTTACCATTTCCATTTATATTCTTTGATGCATATCAATATCAACATGAATCACGTATATGTATTCTTACTACAAAAAAAACAAGTACATCACTTATGGGTGTTATTCTCTTTTATAATATACCTTTTACCGTTACCATTATTGTATACATTCTTGTATGGTGTCATGCACGTCGATCAAATAATACAAGACTTGCACGTAATGCACGTAATTTAGCTATCATGCGTCATATTCTTACACTGGTAATAATCGATACAATTTGTGGACATCCATATATAACACTTATTCTACTTGATTATCTTGGTAAAGCTACTAAAGAATGGTATTTATTCGTTTCATTTTTTATAACACTTAGTGTTACTGCTAATATGTGTGCAATATTTATATTTAATCGCAAGTTACGTAAAATGTTATGTTCAAAATGGATCGACTGGCGTGGATCACCATCAAACACTAGTACGACAGGATCAGCTATGATTCCCATGCGTATTTCAACATATATTGTTATGAGTGGTAATATAATGGCCGGTATATCAAAGAGTCCAGTTATCTACCATACTTCTGCTAATGAAAAATGACAATAAAACAGTGTAATCTATTCTATATAAGTAATTAAATGTGTTGAACTAGTTCATTATTAATAAAAGATAACAAAAAATTCATATTTAAGTTGTTCATACCCTTCATGTACATGACTAAAAACATGAAGTTTAGGTTTAACTATAGTAACAACTGATTTCCATAATTCTTGACAACCTAGATGAAATGTATGAGTTGATCTATCTAAAATGCCATTAGGTGGACCATGTAGTCGAAGAATATCTGTGTCGATAGGTATTTCAGATTAATGACGATGAATTTCATTGGAATCCTTATACTGTTCAGATTACTAACCATTATACATAAACAAACAAATCAAAATCTGTTGTATTTTTTTTCAATAAATGAGCTCCAATATATTTCATAAGTTTATTTTCTTGTCAATATATTTATCTGAAGAATAAATACGAATATGCAAATTGAAAATTATTTGAGAAGTATATGTAGTCCAAGCAACCAATTCTAATAAATTTCTTTTTTGTTTCGAAAATTTACTATTATTTTCTTATGTACGAAGATACTTTACATTCTTGTATGAAAAAGTGAGTGAATGACACTTTTAATATTTACTATTTCTCTTCTTATATGCCTTATATACATCCAAAATTACAGAATAAATTTCTTCTCAATCTTATCTTTTTTTTTACTAGATTTCGATGTACTATTAATCCACCATCTGATATTAATAATAGTGGAAAAGTTTCGAAAAAACATAGTGAAAATTTAATTATTTATTCATCGAAGTAAATACAAATTTATGATTAAAATAAAATAAATTTTTTCAGTATGCCTCAATATTTATCTACGAATAAAGAAAAAGAATTAATTGAAATAGCGACTACTCTTGTTACCAAAGGCAAAGGTTTATTAGCTGCTGATGAATCTACAGGTGGAATTCAAATAAAAACTATTCAATTACACGAAACATTTTTTTTAGGTTCAATGTTAAAACGTCTTCAATCAATTGGATTAGAAAATAATGAAGAAAATCGTCGTTTTTATCGTCAAATTTTGTTTACTGGTTCAAAAGATCTTTCAAATTATATATCCGGTGTTATTTTCTTTCATGAAACATTATATCAAGATGATGATAATGGAAAAGCATTTCGTGAAATATTAAAAGAAAAAGGTATTATATGTGGTATTAAAGTTGATAAAGGTCTTGTACCATTGGCTGGTACAAATGGAGAAAATACCACACAAGGTCTTGATGGACTTAGTGAACGATGTACTCAATATTGTAAAGATGGTGTTCGTTTTGCTAAATGGCGTTTGTATTATTTCAATTGATTTTTTTTGAATCTTCGAATATTTTATTTATTTTAGGATGTGCATTAAAAATTGGTGATGGTTTACCATCGGAATTAGCTATTCATGAAACAACAAATATTTTAGCACGTTATGCATCAATCTGTCAACAAGTAATAAGATATATAAAATAATTAATTTTATTTTTTCAATTTTAGAATGGTATTGTTCCCATTGTTGAACCAGAAGTATTCATTATTTTCATTTAAAAATCATATTTTATTTGAAAAATGTATCTATAAGGTATTATCAGAAGGTGATCATGATTTAGATAGATGTCAATATATTACTGAAAAAGTCCTAGCTGCTACATATAAAGCACTTAATGACCATCATGTTTTCTTAGAAGGAACACTTCTTAAACCAAATATGGTTACTGCTGGTTTGTTAAAAATAATTAATTTTTTGTTTTAATTGATAAATAGATATGATTTTACATAGGTTTTGATTGTAAAAAGAAATATACACCGGAAGATATTGCTCGAGCAACTGTAATAGCATTACAACGAACTGTTCCACCAGCTGTACCTGGTATTTGTTTTTTATCTGGTATCAAAATATTATTTTATTTTATAAATTAATTATTGATGTAAATATATGTTTTGTTTTTAGGTGGACAATCGGAAGAAGAAGCATCAATTAATTTAAATGCTATCAATCAGTATCCAGGCAAGAAACCATGGGTATTAACATTCAGTTATGGACGAGCACTTCAAGCTAGTGTACTTAGTACATGGGCTGGTAAACGTGGAAATATATCTGCTGCACAAAATCAACTTCTTAAACGAGCTCAAGTAAATATATATATTTGTGTATATCTTATTGATATATTGAGAATCTTTAGGCACATAGTGCTGCTGCAAAAGGTGAATATAAGGGTGGTGCTGAAGGTGCATCTGGTGGTCAATCGTTATTTGAAGCGAATCGTGATTACTAAACAATCTAGTTTTTTTCTTCTTCTTCTTCGAATTCTATGTATAAAACAATAACGAGTTTTGCTAGAAAAGTTGTCATTTCTTTCAAATATATTATTTCATTGTATTCTATTAAAAGAAGAAAATGAAAGAAACAGAATTCGATAATTGCTAATACTCTCGAACAAATATATGTTCGATGTAGTGGCGACAAATGTGTTTGTTATTAAAACGAAATAATGATGATTTTTTTATATCCTACTAATGAGAAATGACTTATCCATCTGACACCCACACTATCTCTCATTTCTTTCTTTCTTTCTTTTTTTACATATGACGACAGAATTGAATGACTATTTTATGGTTTGTCTTCAATCGATTAGAACAAAAAATCAAAGATAACGACATTTATACGCATATAATCATTAATATTTGCTCATGAACGACATATCCACACGACGATCTTGTTGTTTAAAAAAGTTGATCGGTGGGATATTTCATTCATTAGCAATACAAGATTATCGAACTTGATTGCGATAGAATAAAAAAAAAGGTAAAATTCTTTTATTTAAATGAATAGAATACATTACAAAAATTAAAAACAGGTAGTATCTCTTGCTTTACATTGAAATGTTTGAGTAAATTCTGGCATATGAATAAGTGCAGCATTTAATGCTGTTTTTTCATCATAAAAACCTATTTGTGTACGTATAAATTGAAGTAATTCTTGTCGTTTATAACATTGTGTTTGAGCATAAGCAAGAAAAAATGTTTGATCACTGGTTAAATTTGTACCAGGCATTTTTATTAATTTCATTTCATCGATTTTCTTGAATGCTGTATATGCAAAACGAAGTGCACCAATATGTCGTAGAGTTGTAGGAGAAAATGGTTCACCAGCAAGTTTAACTACGACTTCTGCACCATATACATTATATACAAGTTTTTCTAAATCTTGTACATAATAATTAGTTATACATTGACGACTAGTATTATATGCAGTTGCTGTTGATGCTGACCACCAATCAGGTATTCGTGTACCATTAGCTGAATGTATACGCCCTAAATTGTAGTGTAAAATATATTTATTATAGTTAGAGTTAAATTAAACTATTACCGTCTGGTCCATCAATACTAGCAAAAAGTTTTTGAGCAAGTAAAACTCCTATTGAACCCATATTCATTGCCCTGTAAAAATAGATCAATGATAAAGAAAATAGAAAATAAATAAACTTACCATGGCCATTCAGCACTAACTAATGGTTCATGCATAGAACTAGCAATAACAAAAAGTCGATTAAACATTGCAAGATATTCAAATAATCGACTTGTACGTGTTTCAAAAAGATCCCAATGTTCAAGTTGATTAGGATTCAATAATGAATAAAAAATAGATGATCTATGAAAACGATGATAACCATATGCATTAGCAAGATGAGATGTCTCATCGACAGCAAACTAAAATTATTAAAATTTATTCTATTTTAAAATAAAAAAAAATAAATATTTACTAGTTCATAATAATCATCAAGACGTGTATCATCTGAAGCAATACTAGCATAACCAATAGCTGCTGTTAATGCATCGATTTTTTGTCTTGCAATTGTTTTTGTTGCTTCATCAGCCATCCATGTTGCTTGTTCATTTATATATTGTTTAAAACCATCTTTCAATGTATCAAAAAGTGTTTGAATCTGAAAGAAAAATTAAATAAATAAATTTTACGTTATAAATTCTTTTTTTTTAATTACAGTTTGAACAGTATTAGAATGTGTTGTTGAATTCATTGTATATAAACGATGGATAGCAAGTGGAAATCGTCGTATAACTTCACGTGTACAATATATTTCATTTGTTGAATGTAATGGTGTACCATAATATTGATCGAGAAATACTCTATGTGCATGAATATAACTATAGGATAGATCTTCAATATATGTTCGAACAAGTCTCCATCGTAAATAATTATGAATTTGTCGAGCAATTAATGGACTAAATTTTAATATAGATATAGATTTTTTTGAAAATGAACAATATATGATTTACATACTTATCATTTTTTGATAGAAGTTCAAAAGCTTTTTCAAAATATAACGGACTTGTTACATAAGCAGATGTTATACCTGATATGATAGTTGGATCAGTTATTTCATGTGTCATTAATTCAACAAAATCAAACTAAAGAAAGATTTTATTTCGTGGATATACATATAATCGGATATTTTATATTACTGAATATCGATCCGACATTTCTTTAAAAGTCATTGTTACTGGTTTATCATCATTTAGTTTACTAAATTGAACATGCTAAAAAAGAATCTATTGAAAAGAATAAAGTTAGATTTTGTATAAAATATACTTCAGCTAATTCTTTTTCAATAGCAAATATATCATCAGCAACAGTAGTCATTCGATCACTAAGATTTCCATCACTTGTTCCAGCATCCTGAGCAAGTAATACTAATATTTCGAGTATGTATACTCGATAAAGTGATCGACGCTAAAAAACAAATTTTATCCGAGATCTAGTTGTAGTCTAACTTACTGATTGTGAAACTTGATCAGTATTTAAATAATCATTTACTTCCATTGATAAACCAGCTGGAATAAACTATGAATATAATAAATAAAATATAATCTATAATTTTTCTTTCAATTCTTATACTTCAAGTCGTTTAGTACCCAGATTTGTATCATCCCATCCTATACGAAAATCAAATACAACAGCTGTACCTAATAGAGAAAAAAAAGAATGTGAATATAATGCATTATTTTAATTTTACCAAGATCTCCATGAATATGTGATAGTTGTTTATAGATGGTTTGATTTTTTAGTAAATACTCTTGAGGAGCACCTTCAGCACCGTTATCAAATAAAAACCAACCATCAATTGTATCACGATCTTGTATAATACTAATCAAAGCTTTTCCACTATCAAGTACACGTGCATAATCATCTAAACATTCTGTATAATATGTCTAAATAATTATGAAGATTTTTTAAAAGTTCATTTTATTACAACAAAAAATGAACTACGAACTTTAACTTTAAATTCCCAACTTTTTGCAGTTAAACGACCAACTGGTGAATTAAGAAGACGTTCAATATCTGCATCACGTCGATCATTGATATCACCAAGTATGGTTCGTTCAACATCAAATGATTGAATTGGATGAGTTTGTTGCCAAGTACCACATGCATATTGATAAAAATCTGTACAACGATCATCCCATACTGTATTATCCATATAACGTAATTGATGTGTAGCTGCTGAAAGACATCCTCGATTAAGACAATAACCATCAACATTATTATCACTAGTATTAGTAATAGTATTAGTAGTATCGTTCTGTTTACGATTTGAAGCTTGAACAATAACAGTAATTAAAAGTGATAAAGATAGTAAACCAAGAAATACTAATCCAACCGTAATTAAACGTGCACGAGTTATAGAGCGGCAAAAAGTATTGACCTTTCCATCTGCTGGAAGTCCAATAATTTGTGGTAATTGTCGCATTTCTTTTTTTTCTACTGCCGATCTTACCTTCTTTTTTTGTCTTACTGATAATGAAATTATATGAAATATAGATAATGTCGTCGGACAGGTTAATGTTACGTAAATATACTTTTTTCTTTTTCTTTACAAAAGTTTATATTTATTCAAGATGCTTTCTGTTTATCAATGTTATAGATAAAACATATCATTTTATCACATTCTTATATATATAATTAACATTTACTTTAAACAATGAATATGAAAAATAATTAAAAACTTTTTATTGTAAATAATAAAAATACATTATCCTTTATTTAGTCATTATTAAATTCACAACAACGTGTTGCTGCACCACCAGCTATAGCACATTGAAAACAAATATGCATTGGTACAGGTTCTAAAAATGGCTGTGCTGTTCCTGTCAAATTTACTCGTAGAATTCTGCAAATAATACATTTAATTGTACGTGGATAACCTGGTGTACCATGTTTATTACATACACGTGCTTCACGTTTCATATGATTGTTTGCTTGATTGAAGTTAAGGATTGGATTGGTACAAATCATACATGAAGCTTTTGTCATTGTATATGGTCCTAATTTAAATAATGTAGCACACGTAGAACATGCATAAGCACGTTGACTTGCAGGACCATCTTGAGAATGGATTATCTGTGTGCAACGATGTTTCTATAGAACAAATGTAATTTTTTTTTATCATGAAAGAAAAATAAATAGACTTACACGTAGATATACTTGTCGATCTAATTGATTTACAGCACGTGAATCTAATGAACGTAAAAATGTAACAAGTTCTTTAATCATTTGTGCTTGTTCATAATGATATGGTACACGACGAGTTGAAAAATCTTTAATTGTTGAATTTTTAAGATAAAAATTTGCGAGAAATTTATGTATAGAAATAAGATCATTTGTATTTTCTTCAAAATAACGTTTTCGTAATTTCTAGAAAAAAGAAAATATTTGATAAAAGATAAATAATTGGACTAGAAATAAATACAAACTTTTTGTAGTGTTGAATGACGAAAAATAATAAGTTGATGTCCATCAATCCATGCTGTATCAAGAAATAATTTTAAGTATCTTTGTATTGTTGACCATGTCATTCGATCAATAATAATTCGATTTTTTTCATCATCGATATTCATATTTAAATAATGTTCAAGCATTTGAACTAAATCTGATTCGAGTATTCCAACATTTGCTGCTATTAATAATTTAAAGAACTAAGAAAAGAATCGGTTTATTAATTTTTTAATTATTATCAAACATAGACTTACAGCATCAACTAATGTTTGATTAGCAATTGTAGCACTAACTTCATTAAGTAATACATCAAGTAATTCATCTATTGTTTGTGGATATGTTTTAAGACGTTTTGTTACAAGTGAATAATCACCGAATTGACGAAGATTTTCACATAGATATGATAAATAAAGTGGATGTTCACTACCTTTATTGTTCAAAATTAAAGATTTCTGTTCAGGTTCAAGAGTCTATGAAATAAAATAGATTAAATTTATTCAAGTTGAAAATCAAAAAAAAAAGAATTAAGAATATCAACAATAATCTAATCTGATTAATGAACAAACGAAATGTTCGTTGATCACAAATTATCTTTCTTAATCAATCATTGAAGTCAATGACTTTTGTCATTGTACTATCATGTTATCTAGATATGTTAGTTATAATCATAAATATCTTTGTATATACACATCTATAGTTATTAGAAATCTGTAAAGCAACTTAATTTTTCTCTTTAGATATTTCTCACATCTACTTAATAAATTCTTTTATGACGATGTACAAGAATATATAATTTCTTATATCGTCTGTGGAGATACTTCAATATCATTATCATCAACTTGTCAATGCATACATTTTGCATCGAGTGAGTATTGACATACAACGAATATTAAAACAATTTCATATAAACACCAACACAAGAAATATTCTTTATATAAATGATACTGATATATTTTTAGATGAAGATTTATAAACTATGTAATAGGATCGTGTAAAACATGTAAGTTTTATTATGGAGTTTTTCTTATACTAATAAAGCATCATATTCCATTCATATTATTCTTTTGAAAGAGTTAATATCAAAATAAGTTAATAAACCACAGCGCTTACTTAATATCATCACCTTCTTTTTCTTCATTCTTTTGCAAAAAGAAATCACATACTAAGACTTTTTTTTGTTGTCCTCATTTGCATAAAATAAACTTATCTTTAAGTTTGTCAAGGTCGATGAATACATTTTTGTTCGTATAGAAAGTAAATGACAAAATTTTTATCAAGCATATGTCATTATACAAATGACTAACAACATATTTCAAGTCACTATTATATCAATCAACTCTTGATTTTATACATACGACAAAAAAGAACGAAGAATGTATCAAAGAATATCAAGATATTCGTGCGAAGATATATCCATGATAAATAAAAGTTTAAATGAAACTTCGACATACAATGACCATTTATCTGTTCCAAATACACAAATGCGAACAATTAATAATAATAATAAACTACCAAATGCTATTCGTGCAAAAAGTGCTGATTCTATTCGAACCAAATCAACAATAATGTGTACATCTCGTTCAACTATAACAGATATTAATGAACATTATCGAAAAAATGCTGATAATGGAAAAAACGGATTAACTATACTTAATAATCGTTTTGAAAATTATCTTAATCAAATCAAAAATTTAGCTGATAAAAATATTGATCTACGTCATCAAATAGATGCGATTTATCAAACACATATGGAACATAATGAAAATGATAAATCACCTGAAATCGAAACTCGTAATCTTCGTCAACAATTAAATAATGAATTACGACAATTCCTGTCATGTAAAATACGTTTACAACGTGCTGATCATGATAAAAAATATTACAGAACTAAATTACAATATTTTTCAACATCAGAACAAGAACAATTAATTAAACAAAAACTTATTGGGGATATATATGAATTAGATTTCTTAAAAGAACAATACGGAAAAAAACAAAATGATTTACAAGTAAATTTTATTCTTTATTAGAGTGATGAGAATATCTAGATATAATCTAATATGATAGCATATTTAGAGCTATATGACTAACAAGGAAATTTTTGTCAAGGAGATGCTCGAGTACTTCTTAGCTAGGGTGCGGCGGGGTTGCCCCGATTCCTGACTTTTCTCCCGGCGGGATGGAATCGGGATGGGTATCTGTCGGGTGAGAGACGGTCGGAATCAGGATGAAAAAAAACGGTCTCGCCGCACCCTACTCTTAGCTAGAGTTTTAAAAAGAAGACTAGGCATGATAGTCTTCAATTGAATATTAAACTTAAACGTTATTTTCTAGTCAATCAAAATACAATATGATGAATATTTAGCAAAAATTGCTCATTATACAAATGAATATTATAATATAATCTATGATCGAATGACAAGTGAAAGCAGTATACATACACTTAATGAACACTTATTATTTGAACGTGAATATAAGAAACGATGTGAACAAGAATTTGAATCTTTAGAAAAAATTCAAGATGATTTTAATAACCATTTTAATAAAACTGAATTGGAAAATACCATTAAAATGATTCGGTTAGTTTTTTTTCTTATTGATTTCAAAATCATGTTTTATTTTTATAGTCAAGATTATCAAAAATATAATGAAAGTCAATTAATCGATTTAGAAAAATTATATAAAATAAAACTTGATTCAATTCAAAAAGAATATCATCATTATACTACAAATGAATATAAACATGAAAGTAAAAATGAAGATTTCTCCGAAGAACTTATTAAATTAACTCAACAAAATCAATTTCTTCAACAACAACTAAGTAAAACTTGTGTCTACTTTTTCTCAAATAAACTTATTTTTATATTAAAGAAAAACTTGAAAATAATCAATATCAAACAAATCAACAACAACATGAAATATTAAATCAAGAATATTATGGATTAGAAAATCAGTTATCTGAATATCAATCTCTTATTGAATATTCTCGAGATAATACAAATTATCTTTCACTCGAAATCAATACATATCGATGTTTATTAATTAATCTTGTTTCATCAACTCAACAAAAAACAAATCTACTTTCTTCTAAAATACCTGGTTTTAATATATATTTTGATCACGGAACAATGTGGGTTAGAATTTAAAAAAACATCAAAAATAATTTTATTTAGTATTAATCTTTCTAATTGCTTATTCTTATTTTTCTTTAAACTTACTTTATTAAATCGAGTAAAAAATCCTTCAATATATAATGAACATTGTTCATTTGTTAATGGTTTAAGGTCTAATTCATAATGATAATAATTATTAATTTCTTGATATAATGCTGATTCATTTTCACAACTGAGTACAATATATGTATGATCACTACGTAGGTCACGATAATAACCAAATGGAAATTCATTGCAATATTTTCGTTGTTGATGAATATCGCCCTAGTAAATATTTCGAAATTTAGGAAAAAAAATGTTTTATCCAATTGAACTTACTTTATCTAATCCATCGATAATAATAACAAGTGGGATAGATAAGAGTTCAATAGCTCTCGGTAGAAAAGTTTCACTTGTTGTCAAAAGTCGTTCACCAGCTTCGGAATATTGTAGATTATTATCCTCTAGATAATTATAAAATATTTTGTTTTTTTGTATATATGTTTTGTATAATATTTACCGAGATATTTATCTAATTTTTTTACTAAAGCATTATACATGAAATGACTTGCATTAGGATGAAATGCTCCATCAAGAAAATGATAAAAAAGAAGAAATTTATCTTTCATTTTTTCCTATTTAATAGAAATATTAATATATATAGATATAATACTTTTGTAATTTTACTTCGATATGTAATACAAATTTTCCAAGTAACATTGTTTTACCATCTCCTGCTTGTCCTCTTATAGCCAACATAGGCGGATGACCTTCAGGATGTGCTACTTTTCCTACGAAATTTTATTAAAATTAATTTCAATAGAAAATTTAATTTTTTTCTACTTACTATACAGTAATGTGAAATCATCATGAACACCTGTTACATATTTAGCTAAAGCTGAGAATTCTTCCGGTCGATCAACAAAAAATTGAGTTTTATTAAGAAGAAATGTTGTCATTTGTTTTTGTTCTTAAAATAAAAAATGAATTATTGGAAAAGAAATTATCTCATCTACCAGCGTTTGATGAACTTTGACTATCAAAATTTTCTGGATACCATTTATGAATCGCGTCTGATAAAAAAGATTTGACTTTAGCTCCGAAATCTTGTAAACCATCAATATTAACCTAGATAAAAATAAAGATTTTTAAATGAAATTTAATAGTTTATTTTTACTCGTTCACGTCCACTTGTTGAGTCAAGACGATTATAAAAACAATCATAATTAAAAATATGTTCCGCAGGGACAATATCAGATAGCTGTTGTTTTAATTCTTGAATTTGTTTTTGGCTTAATTCATCTTTATCACGAAATCGATCTAGATATTTTTCAGGAAGATTTTTTAGAACATTTTCAGAATTTCGAATTAGAAAAAATGCATTTGGATTATGTGTACGAAATGCACCATGAATAAATTCCATTAATGTTATTGATGCACCATCAATCCAACGATATCGTTCAGTTATATTTTTTGGTAAATCATCTATTTTCGGTACCCATCCATATCTAAATAATTTTTATATTTTAATAGAACTGTAAATGAATGATTGAACTTACTTATCACTGACAAGACCAATAAAAAATGGTTGACCATTATCTTCAAAACATCGATCGAGTTCTTCAAGACATGTTAAAATTGTTTGTTCAGTTGTTGAATCTTTTGGAACCTAGATGAGCTAACAGATAAAATTTTCTTCCCTATGAATTATACTTACACCCCAACGAAGATCACAATCAATTATTTGAAGACCAACTGGTTCTAGTTCATCGCGTAATTCAGGAAAAACCTTTGATAATACGACGAGAATAATTTATATTTTATTTTAAATAGAATTTTATTTACTTGTTTTATTAGAACTTCTCGTTCGTTGAAAAAATCTGTAAATGTTGATGAAACAAAAATTCGTACAACTTTATTTGGTGTTTGTTGACATCCATGATTATCAGAATTTTTTGAGGTTTCTTTTGAAATATGTTGACGAAGTTTATTCCAAAATTCACTGACATCTTTAGGTGATATTTCATGATCAATATCAATACTATCAATACTTAGTGAAGATTTAAAATTGTTATATTCTGTTGAATTAACGATTGGTGTAGGTTGACGCGATAAATTTATTTGATCAACTGAACGAGGAGTGTTTGTGGTTTTGGTTGATCGATTTTCATCGTCTATTGAATGAATTGATGGTGTAATAGGTGGTAATTTAGAATAATTTCTTGAAATTCGAACTGGTATTCGACATGGAAAAGATCGTTGTTGCCTAAATGGACTTGACATGACCGAGAAAAAGAACAGAACCAAAATGACGGCAGAAAAAAACACCCATAAATCTTGTTGTTAGCAACGGAGAGGAAAAGAAAGAAAAATCTTGTCTACATAACAACTACTTATTGTTCTCTTTCTTTTAAAAAACCTTCTCAAAAATATACGATATAGGCCATCTCGTAGTAGTATTTAAAATCATTATTGACATATAATCCCTTATAAGCAAAATCATTTATTAATAATATTCAACATCTGTACAAAAGAAAATTTTATAATTAAACTTCTGATTTAGTTATATTTAGAGAATAGAAAAATAAATAATATAATGTTGGCTTTAGAGTAATAAAGTCGTTTGTTATTTTGTTTGGTATAATTACGTATAATGTGTAAGGAAGTTTTAAAGTTGATGTACGATAATTTTTATTTCAAGGAAATTATGTTATATTACAAATAACGCCATCTGTTCTTTTTATCTGAAGTTACTTTTAGTTTTTTTACAAAATTCTAACTTAGGTAGATATTTCTTCGATAATAAAACCAATTGGGCAAATATTCATTAAGTAGATCTAAGTTCTAATAGAAAGAAAATGAATCGTTATATTCTTTAATGAATAATAAAATAGTATCATTATTCAAGATAATAATCTATGTATGTTATATAGTACAACGATTAATTGACAGAATATTTATTTTTAATATATAAGTATAAGCAAGAAGATTTCGATTTATTATAAAGGTAAGGACAATCTGATAAATATTAGTATTTTAGCTTGTCTTTAACAATCATCTAATTTAAGAGATTAATCATTCATTTCAATTGGACTTTATAAAAAATACTTTATACAACAGCTTCTACTATCATTCGATTGGTATTGGGCATGAGTTGTAATTATACTTTTGAAACAACTTCATGATACTAAAAAATCAGTTTAATCATATAGAATAATAACTTAGAAAATATGATTAACGTTTCTGATAAAATTGCCATGATTTATTTACAGATGAGAAGCAAATTATTATCGTATAAATATCTTTACTACTTTTTTCTCGTAAATATTATGATCACTTATATCAGCTGACTTTTACTCTTTCCAAATACAAAAACTGCCTGAAACATTTTCTCTTACAGGCATTGACGAAAAAAAGAAACCCGAAAAAAAATATTGACTATTTTCACGGTTGACTGCAATGTGTGCACCATACACATATGTATAAAGAGTCGTAGTAAGCAGATGCTATCATCGATTTTTTTCCTTTTACTTCCAGCAACTTATATATTTCTTGTTCTTTTTCATTTATTTCAATATTAATTAGTTTTCCAAATACCGTTCTTTATTCATATACGTATATATTGTAGCATATTATTGTTCATTTATTCATATCTCATTGAAAAACTTTTCCTTTATTTTTATTTATCTAACATTTTTTGTTTAGTTAATTGTCATTTGTCATCGAATATTACTTTCTATTCAGTTGAATATTCTCACAATCACGTGATAAATACCTTGAAGGTTAGTTAGAAATAGCCAAACATTTTTCTTTGACAGTACATTTGAACAGACGTTTTATATTTAAGCATGGGTAATGCAGCACAAAAAATAATTCATGCCCATGAACTTCTACAATCAAATGCGTAAGTAGCTTTGTTGTTTTGATTATGATAAACACGTAAACATGTTTATGTATTTATGTAGTCTACCACTGCGTCAGGGTTACTCAGATTATCGATCACATTCACGTTAGATTTGATTAATTGATATCAAAATATAAGTAAATATATTGTTTTGTTTTTTTAGAGCCATTTACTACTACGGATGCACCATGGAATGTAACTCAATGGATTGATCCATTGGATCCTCATCCAAAAATAACTACAATGCCTATTTTAGTCATCGTTCGTAAATAAAAAATAATCTTTAGACTACATTCGTCAATATCGATCGTAGTTCTATAAACACTTTCTTTCAATTTTTTATTTACATGAAGTATGTAACTGTTTGTTTTTTTTTAAAATTCAATCTATTTCATTGTTATTTAATTGGATTGAATCGTATCAGTGTTAATTTTAATATCGAATAAATGTAAATGAATCTTGTATATGTACTGTTTTGATCACTATACTATCGAGATAATTAACGAATATCTTTATTTGTTAGTATATCATACGATATGATTTTCTCTCTTTTTTGAATACTAGATTAGGTCTTTTCTTTTCTATTTCAAATAGCTTCTTGAAAATCGTCACATGAATCTTTGACAATTGTATAGTTAGTTACACTAAGTTAGCATTGATCAATAATAGCACGATATATGCAGTAGAACAGAATTACACACTTCAAGTAAATTCATTAACGAGACAAATGAAAAAAAAAGCATAATTACCGAACAGATGACTAGAGGACGTCAGATAACCATTACGAAATATCACAATCTATATACATAATGTATAATACAAAACTTTAACTGTACTTTCACACATATATTATCGTTATTATAGATAATCTTTTTTATTAAATAAATATATGATAAAAGAATAAGTCATTAGTATTACAATTTTTGTAGTGATTCGATAATCTTGTTTCTTCATGTTCAATTATTTATTGTTCTAGTTTCGATTTGCGTATAAATCATTGAAAAATCCAGTATTTCAGGAATCGTTTTCATGTTTGAAGTTTACTTATGATGGAAAGAAAGTATATGAAACACTTTATCATCTAAATATGTTATCTCGCGTTAATTGCTCCTATATGATGAGCGAAAAAAAACAATATGTGTGAAACGTTCAAGAGAGTAATATAAAGTCTAGATTTATAGCATAAGTCATGAGATAAAAATACTTCGGATATTAAAAAATGAACTTAAACAAAAGATCGATTTTTTTGTAATAACAATATTTTATATAAATATTATTAGTACATTGTATCTTAATTTTATTTTCGATGTATAAGTATAGTATAGACGATATACAAAAAAATATATTTTTTCACCTTTAATACATGCTGATACGTAGTAAGAATACGTGAGTATAATTAATTTTAATTGGACATATTTGCTATAAAAAGATATTCTTTAATTGAGATTTTCGTATATTTTTTTAGTGACTAATTATAGTCATTTATTAAATGATATCATAATTTTTTATTGAAACGCAAAAATGTTTTCTTTTTTCAAATCAACAAAAAATTCTTTCTCGGATGTGTACTAATCGTTATTTTAAGTATTTAATAGTATCTTTTGATATCAACGGTTGCAGTTGAATTTTACATATATTATTACTGTTCAATACAAAAAAGGAAAGATGTAATTTTTCTAAAAACAAATGTGTTACCAACTCAAACCGAAATTTGAATTTAATATGTTTTTATATATTAAGAGACATGTAATTATATGACTCTGCTAGATAGTTCTTCGGAATAATTTGCATATAATGATATAAACATTCTTTATTGATATTTAATAATTCTCTTTCGAATTTAAAAACATCATAATAATTTGTAAAGAACTTTTTTTTGTAAAATTTTTGTTCAGTTATCTATTATTATCTTGAAATTCGAACTATGTAAAGAAAGTATTATTTTATTGATGACAAGTCTTCTCTTGCTGTACGAAGGAGGAGATTAGAAACAGAATAGTTCATCATTAATTTATTCAAACAGCTTCAGTTGTAGATCAGAAAAGCATGATGTTTTACTGATTATAGTGTATACAATCTGTTATTATTTAAGCTTTGTATCTCAAGGAGAATCCATAGATATCAAGTCTTTTTCTATTGCGCATCTAATTTATTTCACATACCTCAATTTTTGCCCTAAGATTTCGCGGCAATTTGAAAAATCTTTATCGAATTTCTGTTGCCAGCAAGTTAATGGAGAAAAACAACTGATTTATAATGAGATAGGATACTGTTTGAGTGCAGGTAGCCATAATATTCTCGCCCACACTTTCAAATCAGATACGAATTAATCTAGAAAAATAATCATCGAAAACAACTATCTAAAAATCATGTTTTTCTAATATACGACTGAAACTATTTGAGTACATCATTAATGGAATATTCGATTCTTGAGCAGATACATCTATCTTCGACTATTATTAAATATGTAATACATTCTTCTGTTTGTTCAATATGAAATAGAGAAAAAATTAATACTGATATTTTATTTTGAGGAACAAAACCGATTTCTTATTGGATCTGTGAATTTTATTTTATTTTTCTGTGTAATACAGTTTATGTGTTGAATAATGTTTATACATCAATTGATATAGCCTCTTTGATATGCACTTGAAATACTTAATAAAGTACTTCAATTTTATCAGTCAGTTATATTCAATAGCTGTTTACATAAGAAAACACATATCAATTCACTTCGATTTTATCCTGTTTCTCTCGTTATATCTATTTCGATATTATATATTCACAAGAACTGTACTATCTATAGATTATTACTAAAGAGAAATGTACCAATGAAGTTTTACTGTAAACACATAGTGACATCTATTTTTCGTTTGTTGTTTTATACTCAGCTGATCTAACCTATCAAGGTCGTAATCTACTTTGCCTTGTCTATTCTTCATTTTCCTATGAGTCATTAACATCAGTTCGTCTTACTTTATATATAAATAGTATTAGTAAATTATTTTCATTGTTTTTTTTTCATTCATTTATTCAAAACTTGATTATGGTGTTTCCATATGATTATTCTGAATTACCACAAATAGTTCTTGCTGAAATCTTTTCTTATTTAACACATAATGATCTTTTATTAACTTCATCAACATGTTCATCATGGCGTAATGTATTATATCATCCTAAATTATGGTCATCATTTCCATATCGTTCTCTTCGTTTAAATCTCATTGATCGTCATAATGATATACATTCTTTTCGTTATTTAACAACGAATTTTCTTAGTATAACACGTTATATTGAAATACGTTTTGATCCAACAAATATTAATATAATAAAAGATATTCTACAAGTTTTGGATATGATAGCATGTACAAATCGACAAATAAAAATTTTAATATTTCGTCCAACGAGTACGCGATGTGCATTAGCAGAAAATGAACAGCCATTTATACCACTTTGTGATAAGTAAGTACTATTTATATATGCGAAATACGAAAAAAATACATATTTTATTTTAGAATTTTTCATTTACTTAAACAAATTATTGAATCAAATCAAGCTTTAGAAGTCATATCATTTGGTTGTTGGTTTGAAAGTCTATTTCGTATTGAAGAATTAGTCCATGTTATAGCACAAAAACAATCGCAATCAATTAAACAACTTCATATAGCATCGATTAAAAATAGTGAAACACATTCAATTGCAGGTAAATCAACTTGAATAAAATCTCAATTGAAAGTAAAAACTACTACTACTAATTTAACATGACCGTTTAGGTTGTCAATATATTAGAACGTCATAGACAATATTAAGAGTATAGTTAAGTTTTATTGCTGTGCATATATATGTCAGGGTTAACTTTCAAATGTGAAATAGCACGTTTATTGAATAGATATCTCTAACAAAGGAAGTGAACATTTAACAAAGACAAAAATAGTTGCCTTGTCCTCTCTTTTATGCAAGAAATTGTTCGTTAAATTCTAAATTTAACAAGGGTACAATGATGGGTCATATTTCATTTCGTCTGATAGTATTTGCAGTATTTGATTACATATGTCTGTTGTTACTAAATACTATAATAATGATTCTAAGATGTTGAAATTATTCAGAATTTTTTTGTTTAATACGCATCATGCGAAACTATTTATAAATAAATAAAAACATATTTTGTTGATTTCAATTATTTATCATAAAATAGATAAAGGTTAATACATGACAGAAGAAAATGTCGGAATAGATATACTGTTATTTGTTTACATATATAAATAAAGGAAAGAATTATGTTTAAACCCAACAGACTATCTTGATTTAGTACCTATATCATAATATTACAAGTTTAGATTAAAAAACTAAATTGATAAATCTTTCTGATTTAGATATTTATTTAACAAGTCAATCATTTCTTCCATTTACTTCTTTACATACATTAAGTATTGATTCCACTTATTTAACAAATGATTTATTACGATGTTTTGCACATCACCCAACGCCATTAAAAAGGTATGTATATTTAAAGAAAGAAAAACAAATAATAAAAATTAAAAATTTAATTCTTAGATTAATTGTACATGTTAGCGAATTTCGGTCTGATACACAGCCTGTTGATGAAACAGTTTGGCACTCAGTAACTAGTATTATGGCTGATTTACGAGTTACTGTTCATATGTTAAATGCACATGAAACTTTTCGAAAGTATTCTCGTGTACTTCGGCCTGGTATGCCTTTATCTCATTTAAGGTAGATTATATCAATTGACAAAGAAAAAAGTAGAATTTCGATTATTATTTTTAAATATTTAGAATGTATTTTTGTTCATCACTGAATGTTGATTTATTATGTTATTTATCTGTTCATTATCGTTCAACATTAGAATGTCTTGATGTTATTGATAGTGTTACAGAACCAGCACTTCGGTATCATAATTTATTTCGTGCTGAACCAGATCCACTTGTTTTATTAGCTTGGCAATGTAAAAAATTAACTTCACTTACAATTCTTGGTAAATATATTTTCTTAAAGTTAAATATAAATAAATAGTTTTGGTTTCCTTTAGGTTATGAAGTATTAGAAGTTAATTTACTTGCTATTGCTAAACTACGCCCACAATTACGTACATTAAATGTATGTGCAGATTGTGTTATGACATTACAGTATGGACATTTACAAATGAATCATCAATTTGTCGAGGATGATAATGGGAATGATGCATTTATACAATATGGAATTTGTACAACTAGTATTCAAACAATTGTAAGTTTAGATTGTGCATTAATTATCAATCTCATCTATATATACTTTGATTTCAATAGATATTATGAGTATCTATAACAGATGAGAGAACCTGTGAAAAGTTACCTGAACTTATAATACTGAGATTCATCGTAGTAACAGTTTTCTGGTCAGAGAATGTTGATGGCCACTAGAGATGTGCGGGATCATCTTTTCTTAGTCTCGGTCCCGGTCCCGAAGCCGATCAATCTGGTTTGGTCGACGTCTTAACTTCAGTTCCGGTAACCTTTTTTCAACGGTTCCGGTTTCGGTATTAATCCCAGTAAATTTTCTTTTCAATGGTTCCGGTAAAATTGGTTCCAGTTCTGATTATGGTCCCGGTAAAATTGGTTCCAGTCCTCGATCATGGTCTCGATAAAATTGGTTCCAGTTCCGGTCTCGGTGACCGTGACTGGTCCCGTACATCTCTAGTTACCGTTCGTAAGGTTGGGAGTTTGATATAATTCTATAAACTATAGCTTAAACTGGACAATTATCTTTGCTAAAAGGATTACAAATACTATTTAATTTGAAGGTCTATTCCTAAATTTAATAATTATTGACTTCAATTAACCCTAACTATCTCGTTTCTTTTTCCTATAGATCGGACAAGTTCTCGGTTGGCCATGGCATCCATTAAGTAAACATGAAATCCCAATAGGTGTGTATGAATATACTGTTCCACTTGAACTTTCATTTATCGAACAGATACACAATGTTTTTGAATCATCAATCTAAGAAAGAAAGAAAAAAATCTTGCGAATATTTTTCACATCTCTGAATTATCTGTCGATATTTATTTTGTGTAGATTTAATTCTGTAAATATTATTTGTTATTGTACATTTCTTCTCTACCTTTTCTTTTCTTTTCCTTCTTTTTTTTTGTCTATTTCAATGAACTTAAATGTCATTCGCGCTTGCGCAAATAGTTTGTGATTTTTGTTTTCAAACAAGAACATACAGATACGTGATAAATAATAATAAGAAACAAATTAAAAACCATGTCATCCTGGTGAGCTTTTGTTTATAACTAATTTCTTTATTTTGAATTAATAGTATTTTATAAGAACATGCTCGTCTCAGATACCAACGTATGATCGAGCTCGTTTGTTTTCTATCGATTTCTTTTTCTTTTTCTTTTTGTAAGACAATGATATTAATCTCCATCTCGATATATACATATATTTTTTTTTGTAATCGACATCATATTAAAAAAGATCTTTCAATAATATTTTATTTGTAATCAAATTTTCTTTTGGTTCTCTTATGTAACATCGAAGAGTCAGATAAGTTTAATATTATTTTTTTTTCTCTTCTTTCGTGTATTTTTTGCTTCTAAAAATCGAACGATATGTGCTCACGATGAATTCTTTTTTTGTTAGAATAAAAACAATTTTTTTTTTCTGTCAACCAATTCTAGAAAAGATAATAAAAATAAAATACAATATGTAGTAGATTGAATAGAAAACTAGAAAAAAAAATTTTTCTTATTTATTTTTATTTCTAAGATGATGAATACTAATACTAATGAACGTGAATTTGAATTATTACGTGAACGTTATATAAGATTAGCGGATATTCATGGACAATTACAAACGCAAAATAGTTTGTTAGAAGAAAAAATTTTAACAATTGTTGAATTATATGAAAATGAAAAAAGTCAATTAGAACAATCATTAGGAGATGCTAAACATCAAATAACATATTTACAAGAAACGGTCAATGAATTACAAATTGAAAAACAACGATATAAAGATGATTGTAATTTAGCTGTTAGACTTTTACATCGACATCCAAATGAATTTATTTCAACATCAACAACAGGACAAATTCAAGAAGAATTAAAGAATAGATTTGAATCGGTATGATGAATATTTTTTGTAACATAGAGAATAATACTATGATATTTAGTAGAAGTGAGAAAGTATAACCTCTCTTTTGATGATTTTAGACATCTACAAATCAACCTATTCCAGCACAACGTAGTATTCTAATACCAACTTTTCCACCAACGTTTATGGCGCAACTTCCATCAATTTCTTTACCAACAACAACTACAAGTTCTTCAACTGTTAATACACAGACGATACCATCTATGACAACAACTAATGATAATCTTCGTGCTGCGGCTGAAGCACTTTTTAAATCGAATAGTGTTCATCGTTCTCCATCTCAACAAGTTACATGTTCAAATTGCCAACGATCTATTAAACGTTGTGATGTTAGTGTTCAAACTTCTCTTGATGATAAATCGGATGATAGTGCAACATCTCGATTACGTCTTGTATCGCTTACTTCATCTGATGATGGTCATAGTGGTGATGGATCATGGCTTCCACTTGATTCACCTCATCCACCTCTAGTAGTTCAAGAGCATCCAACAAGTTTTTCAAGACCAATATCTCAACATAAAGGATATGATGCAATACCAGTTCGTTCAATACCAAGAATGCATCATGTTTAAATAAATAATTTATTTTTATAATACGACTTATGTATTCTTATGAAGAGTAATTATTAAAGATTTTTTTGTTGGTGAATATTATACCAAACAGTATGTGATTTAACGCTTATTTTTGGCAGACAGTTTTCGTTAATAAATAATTCTCAATAATATCTTTTATTCTATTTTCCATCACATATCTGGATCTTGAGGGTGTGTTTGTGTGTAAATTTATCAATTGCGTCCATAACTACTACAGCAAAGAAAAATACGGTAAAAATAAAATAAAATAAATAATACTGTTGAGACTATTAATAATACTATTTTTGCCACTGTTAGCTTCTTTATCAACCAAATCTCCTACATACAGAATATCCGTAAGCTAGCAAGAATTAAAAGAGAACGAATATCTGTATTAGCTCGGTTATCGAGGTTTGTAATCTCACCTGATCTTGTATACAATATAATTGGAGACCAATATAGCTTCAAAAGGATGGATGTTTATTAAATGTATGAAATATATATATATGTGTACGTACATGATAACAAAAGAAGGCAACTGAACTGGGAAAAACAACTTGCTCAGAGAATAAGAGAAAAGAACGGAAACTAGAAATGAAAAGGTTAATGTCAACCGCGTGGCATTTGTTGACTCTAGCAGCTGCACCCTGCGTTTTAACTTTTCACAATGTTTTAAATTATTAAAATCGAGAATGTATGCGGTTACACCGGCCACAAACCTTATTGTAAGCACTAAGATTACGATATATCTTGAGGGTGTGGGTGTGGATGTGTGTGTATGAGTGTGTGGGCAGATACGAGTGCGGATGTAGATGAATGTGAGCGGTATAAACATGATAAAATCACACTCACACGATCAAAAAGACGAAGAAAGTATCCATATATGAACGTTTTGTTTGACGTCTGATTGTTTTTTAGCGACATATACTTGTAATTAAGCTATGATAGTAGATGACAATAAGTTTTTTGGATGTCTGCTTATAGGCAATGAATCAGTAAGTGAGTATTTTACTCAAAGTTGAATGTAACAAGCACTTTTTCTAATCATGTTGTGAAAATAACGCAATTGATTTATTCAGCTATATTTTAAGCAGTTAATTTTTATCTGACTATTTAGAGAGCTTTTGATTAGTTTTACTTTTGTGTTTATACAATGAGATTCCTCTTTATATATATATATACATATATAATAGGTTCAATTTACTCTAAATTTCCGGATGCATTTTAGATAGCTATCATTATCAACAGATGGATGAATGATTTGATTAACACAGTTATTTAAAGAACAGAAAAAAGCAATAAAACTTCTAACAAAACCAAACAGACCATAGCTAATTTATCGTTTCCTTAATTCTATTGAAAAAAGAAGAAGAAGAAGAAGACGGAAGCTAGTATTCAGTTAGGATAGTTTTATGGTTAAGAATACTTGATTTAATGAATTCAAATCTAACATCCGATGATCAATTTTATGAATGCCTATCGTTTTAATCTATATCTTTGACTGATTAACCTATGCTACATACGTAATAACAAAAATCGATAAAAATATATTTGACAGTTTAGAAAGAAAATAAATCTTCTTGAAACATAGCTAATAAAATAATTTAACATATGGAAACATAGATAATTAATGTCATTTTCAATATATAGCCGTATTCTCATAGTATGTAAGTTTATTAATTTTCAAACGTCAAATAAAATTTTAATAAATGCTGTCAACAATAACTACAACGACAGTCCGACAAAAGTTTGCAAATTATGATGTAGTTATTCCTTTATCAATGGCTGGTGTTTTAATAGCTGTTATAATTGCTTGTATAATATTAATCTTAGTTATATTTACAAAACGATTACATACAGTTACACATCTTTTAATATGCAATTCATCGATTTCATCGATATTCTATTGTATAGTTCAATGTATTAATTATATTTTTCTTGTATTAATTCCATCGGAAATGAATGATTCCGCTTGTCGATGGCGTGGATTTTTTGGTTATATGGCAGTTGCAGCCGTTGTCTATTCTTATTTAGCTCAAGCTATCTCACGATTTTTCATTTCTATTCTTTCAACGAAATATCGATGGGCTATGTCATTCAAAGCTCATATAAGTCTTATTCTTATTCAATGGGTTATAGTTTTACTAATACCTTTACCAGCACTTGTTACAAAAGATATCTATTATCGTCCTTTTGCACTTTGTTGGGTACCAAAAAAATATACTCTACATATAACATATACAGTTGTTGCATATTATTTAATTCCAGCAGCATTAATTTTTATTATCTATATTTATATATATTTTCGTATTAAACGTCGTAGAAATAGTATATTTACAATAAGACCTACAGGACGAACACATCGTGATCTTGAAGTTCTATATAATATTATGATTTTATTTGCTATATATACATTCGGTGCAATTCCAACAATACTCTATTTATCAACTGGTATTCAGTTTTTATATGAAATGGGTATTATATCTGTATCATTTACAGTAGCTATTGAAAAAATTGCTACACTTATACTCGATCGTGATATGAGAAATATGATAAAATTTTATTTGCATCGATCAATGACTCAAATTCGACCAATATCATAACCTTCATTATCTTCTATGAATGTGTAAAAAACCAAAAATTTTTTTTTTCTATGTTTATATATCCAAATATCGTCCAAAAAAAACATTATACATGCGATCGCGCCTGTTTAAAGAAAGAAAATAGAATCAACAATAGTTAAAGTATAAGAAAGGAAAAAATGCGATGATAATGACCAAAAAAAAGAAGAAAAAAAGAAGAAGAAGAGAAATAAATTTTCTTTGCTTTATGACTGACTAATTTTGAATAATTTTTCATTTCGATTTGTTTCACATACAATTCATACAATTTGATTGATTCGTTTGTTTATTTCCCTGCAATACACCAATAGAACCACCCGGTGTTGTTTCCGATGAATTTGTTGGAGTCTTTTTTAATATAAGTCGTGCCATTTCAAAAAAAGCTTTTTCGATATTAACATTATTCTTTGCTGATGTTTCAAGAAATGGTATTGAATGTTCACGTGCTAATGCTTCACCACGTGATCGAGTAATACAACGTTTATCGTCCATGTCACATTTATTTCCTATGAGCATTTTAACAACATCATCAGATGCATGATCATCGATATTACGTAGCCATTTATCTATATTTTCAAATGATCGGACTTGTGTTACATCATAAACAAGCATTATTCCTGTTGCTCCACGATAATAAGATGCTAAAATTATTTATTTATACAAAAAAAAGAAATATTCAGATTTCGATAATTCTTACTAGTGATTGTATGAAATCGTTCTTGACCAGCAGTATCCCTAGAAATAAATATATAGATTTTGATACACGGAATTATGTAATATATGATATAACAGATAGGTAAACTTGAGTATTTTTATCAGACTTTTGTCATGTGTGTGATAGTAAACAATGTTTGATGTAAGACTTATTTCAATGTAGAAAATATTATTATATAAAGAGGTTTTTACCATATCTGTAGTTTGATTTTTCGTCCATCGAGTTCAATAGTTTTTATTTTGAAATCAATTCCAATTGTGGAAATAAATGACGCATTAAATGCATCATCAGAAAATCGGAATAAAACACATGTCTGAAAAGATAGAAATTAATTCTAAGGATTTATTTATTATATTCTTCACTTACTTTACCAACACCACTATCGCCAATTAATAATAATTTAAATAGGAGATCATAATTTTTTTTGGCCATTCTTTGGCCAATATTCTACAAATATAAATTATTTTAGTTTTATCAGATTATCAATAAATAAATAAATAAATAGATAGAAAGGTCAATGTATAATATTATTATTATCAGTTATTCATCAATCAATAAGTACACCAATAACAACAACAAACTACCTTCTGACTTATATCGATAGACGATAAAGTGTTGCGTTTGAGAGATTGATGTCGACGTGATAAGGATGATGTACGTTCATGAAACCAATGTTGAGCATATTCACTCGTTCTTTTCAATGAGAAACATCGACGGCGACGACGATGATGATGATTATGATGGCCAGACATAGTAGTAAATGCACTGCAGCTGACGACACTGACTCAATCTCGACGACAACTGACTAACAATCATTATCAACAGCCATCAGGTGTTGAAGAGAAAAGAGAGAACGAGAGAGAGAGAGAGAGGAAATCGAATATTATACTTAACCCTAAAGCAATGACAGACAAGCAACAGAACAGAGATGATCGGCATTTTCTTTCTCTTTCTCTCTTCGATTGCTGTATTTGTGCATACATCAACATCGATGTTCATCCAATAAAAATCATTAAAAAAACGAAAGAGAACGATAAAAAAAGATATAATCATATCAGTGTTGTATATATACATATGTACTTTACTTCACGCTTCATAACAATCGAACAAATGCCCGTTCACACGTAAAGCCTAATCAATGACCACAATCACTATCTTTCTCGTATTTCACTCCTTTCTCATTTTCTTTCATTCGCTCACACCTTCAATTAATCATTAAAAAAGAAAACAAAGACAAAGAACTATTTCTATATATATTCTATTGTTTTCATGTGTACAGATGGACTACACAAAAATATTTATATATGTATACATATGTATATATATAATATCATATAAGAACAAAAGACAAAGAAACATGGGCTCGGATAAGAATTTCATCTACTCTTAGGTTTAAGAAGAAACGAAAGTAGACAATATCAGAAGAAAAAAAAATTGGTCAAAAAAGAATATATAAATGTCAGATCTTTATAAATTGAGAAAAATACTACGAGAATCTTCAACATATTGTTTAATTTTTCGTAGAAATAGTACAGCATCACGACCATCTAAAATACGATGATCGTATGTAAGAGCTACATACATCATTGGACGAATTTCGATCTAATAAAATAAAGGAATAAGAGAAAATAACAAAACCCACAAAATAAATATAACATACTTTGCCATTAATAGAAACTGGTCGATCAAATATTCCATGCATGCCAAGAATGGCTGACTGTGGTAGATTAATAAGTGGTGTGCCAAATAACGAACCAAATACTCCTCCATTACTATAATATATTTTTATTACGATAAAATTAAAAAAAAAGAAGAATCACAATTATACCTGATAGTAAATGTTCCACCATCCATATCTTCAATTGCAAGTGCACCCTTTTTTGCCTATGAAAAAAATCGAATATATATTTCATGTTTACTAAGAAAACAATTTTCATTTACTTTTTCACCATATTCATTAATTGCACGTTCAATATCCGCAAAACTCATTTGTTCAACATTTCGAAGGACTGGTACGACTAAGCCCTAGAAAAGAAAAAGTAATTGTTTTAAAAATACTTTTATTTCTATTTGAATAAATAACCTTTGGTGAAGCAACAGCAACACTTATGTCAACATAATCGCGATAGACAATTTCATTTCCATCAATAACTTGAAAAGTAAAAGAAATTTTTTTCTTGAAATTAGAAATAATAAAATTTTTTACCGGCATTAACAATTGGATTATCCATAAGAGCACAAGCTGATGCTTTAACAAATGCTGACATAAATCCTAATTTTATATTATGACGTTTAAGAAATTGATCAGAATATTTTTTACGAAATTCAACAATATTACTATAAAGAAAATTTTTGTAAAATATTTTTACTTTTTTTTCTAAATCAATTATTTATACCTCATATCAATTTCATTAAATGTAGTTAACATTGCACATGTATTTTGCGCTTCTTTAAGACGTTCAGCTATTTTTAAACGCATTCTTGTCATTTTTACACGTGTTTCTGATCGTGTACCACTTATTTTATTTGGGTCGTTGCCACCCATTGATTGCTGTTGTTGTGTAGATGTACTTGTTTTTGATGGTGCTGAAGTATCACGTTTTGAACCTTCTTTTGGTGTTAAAGAAGCAGGTGGTTTTGGTGTAGGAGAAGAACTTCCAGATGATTTTTCTTTTGTTTGTTCATTATCGTGTTTATTTGAAGAATCTTTTGTTTTTTCGGCATCAATTTTGTCTGTTGATGTATCTTTTGTTTTTTCAGCATCAATTTTGTCTGTTGATGTATCTTTTTTATCCTCTGCTGATGCTGATTTTGAGACACTACTACCGCTACTACTTGTATTAAGTTTAGCTATTGGAGCTCCTGATGTAACATTATCACCATCTTGAACAAGAAATTCTTCAATTGTACCTCCTTGTGGTGAATTAACACTTAAATTTGATTTATCTGTTTCAATTTCAGCTATGGTTTCATCAGCAGATACTTTATCTCCGACTTTTTTTAATAAACGAATAGTACCATCTTTGACTGATTCAGGAAACGATGGTGTTGATACATTAACAGAATCAACTAATTAATCGATAATTTAGAAAAATATAATTTTTACTAATAAAGAAAAGAAAACATACAAACGATTGAACTCGTATGAATATGCCGACTGAATGCATATACTGAAGTATGAGAAGAATCCGTAGGAAGTGTTTGATCAGAAAGAGCCTAGAGGAAAGATAATCATTAAATATTTATCGAAAGAATTTTTCTAAGGACATCTATTTTTATTCTTTTCATATTAATAATGATATACATACACGTTGTGATGATGATGATGATTTATTATTTTCTGTTATTAAAACTCGATTAGATGATAATGGTAAAGTTGAAAATGAATATTGTTGTTGATTTTGACATGGTCGATTTGGATATGTTGTACATTTCGATGCTGCAGCAACAGATGAACCCGAACGTAATGCACGTAATGATGCACTACGTAATGAGACAATATGAGACATACTTATCTAGAATATAATTGGAAATAAGTTACTATCAATAAAAGTATAGAATTACTAGAAATGAGAAAAAACAAAAGAATTGTTTATCAAAAGAAAAAAAAGAAGTGAATGCAAACAATCATGATTCGTTTTGCTTCACTTCTAATACGTTTATGACGGTTCGATGAACTTTGTTCTATGATGTCATAAACGCACCTTTTTACCTGAATAATATCAATACAAAATACGATTTGATTAGAGATATGTAAATGAGTGTGTTGTTATTATAAAGAAACATATAGTATATATATAGCGTTATTAGTCACATAAGTGCATCATAGGTGTTTTTTTTAGAACAAGATTAGCAATGATTCATAAAAGTAGATATATCTTCGCGTTTCTATTACTAAAACGTTAATTAATCAAAAAAATCTATTTAATTTCATTCCTTGTTTGATAAAAATCCTTTTTCTATGTCATCTGTAAATTAGAACAATACCAGATTAACTCTACACAGATTGTTATATAATTTCGAAATATGAGTCGATCATATTTGAATATATATTAGATGTCTTACTACTTACGAGTAGCTCCTATTGTAACATATCGATTACTTCGTCTTTTCATCTAGATTTGATCAAAGAGAATCGAAGACATCAATTTTTTTTCTCGTCTTGTATACAAGAGAGAAAGTGATTATCTATAAATCTGTTGAAACTTAACAAAGTAGAGATACTATCAATGATTAAAAGAAAAAGGACACTCATTTAGTGACTTTCTAACAAAAAAAATTCTTAGATTTACTTACCAGTAAATGAAATAATAAACTTACTATCTTCAAAATCGTAACTTATCGAAAAATTCTTAACTATATAAACAGCTGTATTAAATAATTTTATACTCAAAAACTCTGAACGCAATATTAACTATTGATTTCTCGTACTTGATATATATAGTTACCTTTGCTTCGGCTAGATCGAACCGTTATTAATATTTAATAATGTCAGTTTTACATACATATGTATATTTGAATAGAATAGTTGCATTTTATACAATAAATTCTATGATCAATATAATCTGTTCTAGTTCAATTATAATATTCTAATCATGACATTGACGATTAGATCGACATTTTTTATACACAAATATGTCTTCTAAATATGTGTTTATCCCATCATGAGTTCATAAAACATTACCTATTAATAATTGATCATATATGAAAGAATAAAATTGAGAATATGTTCTCAAGTAATTTTGCATGTTACAATCATGGATACAAAGTTCGCTTAGTTATATTTATACTCTTTTTCGTTTGGATAAAAAAAGTTCCACACAAAAACGTCCTTTGATCTTTTAATATTAACCAATTGTAGAACTAGATAATAAAGAGGACGCCACTGATCAGACAATCTTTTTCATGTACAACAGTAATATTTTTATCATTGTGAATCTCACAATAACGTATGTTTTCTAAGACAAACAATATGTTTTGGAATGATTAGAATTAATTTCAAAGACTGTCATCCAAAATGAATCGGCTGTCATTTCAACTTTTTAGTAGCTACTTCATTCGTTTTGTTATTAATAACAGGTATAAAACAATAATCATTTGCTAATTCCTTTTACATTGAAAATAGATGAATAATAAACATATATGCTCACATAAACTGGACAGTCTTATTACTTTCATGTATCAGTAAATAAGCTTATTGAAAAGATACTATTGAGTCTTTTACAATGCAATTATTCATAATTTTAAACATGTGTTTCCTCTGGTAAGAAAAATTGTAAATTATGAGATTATCAAGTCAAGAACGACATTATCATATTAGTAATTACTAGTATGATTATTGATGAAAAAGTACATATATTACATTCAAGGTGATTTATATAAACATCGCAAATATTTCTCTAATCCCTCTTTTAGAGCTAATGATGCATAACAATAAATACAGACGTTGTTTTATTCATTATAAACATGACAATCTTACCTACGAATATATCTTTCAATACAACTCAAACTGAACAAATATTTGCATATGATACAAATGGTGCTATAATATATGTAATTGGAGTTATAGTATGGTATGCTATTGGATTTGGTCTTATACTTATTGATGATATTAATCCTCAACCAAATCATTCTGGTTTACGTAAACATGTAAGTTTCTATGAAACAGTTACTGATTTACATGAACAACAAATGCGAAATGAGATATTAGTTGAACTAAAAGATAAAGATAGACGAGCAAAATTATGGCAAATTTATTATGGTACAGAAAAGAGTCATCCAGTAATGATACAAAAAGATATTGAAGCTATTGAATTAATAACAAAACAATTAGATGAATTAAATGAACGACGTCGATTACTTCGATATACGTTGAACGAAATAAGTGTTGAAGAACCAGATGCAGTACATATTCATGATGACAGTGATTCTGAAAGTGTTCAAGATTTTCAAATGATAAATCAAAAGAAAGCAAATGAACGTTTAAAATCATATTTTAAATAAATAACTAGAGTTTTTTTTGTTTCTATACTTACGAAATCGTGATGAATAGTCCCAGTGGTACTTGCATAGTGCGTTATACAAGGAAATTCTCTTCACGAGAGGGCGTGTCTATCCTTGCAAGAACGCCTACGCAAAATACGACACAACGGGTTTATATCATATGGATTTGTGTATAACGAAGCCCAATAAACCGAGTTATATATATATGTATCGTTTGCTCTCCCTCTCTCTCTCTCCCTTTTTTTTCTACTTGAATTTGTTCATTGAAATATGTTTGTTGACTGAGACTTATTCGAGCGGTACTAATAATAGGTTTACTCGATTTATTTCGCTTGCTCTCTTTTCATATTGATATGATTGCGTTAGTTTGGATAGAGAAAAAAAAATAAGAAATAGAAAAAAACAGAGATTTGAGAGCGTACAATGACAACGAATTAAAAATGCTACCACTTGTAAAATCAGTCGACGAACGTATGCTAAGCAAAAAAAACTGCAAACGGTACTGTTTAGATAAGAATATTAACAATTATAGGTTACATAGAGAAATCGAGAGAGAGAGAGAGAATGTGTGTGCGCGTGAAAGAACATGCTCCCTGTGGCTTCTGATGGCCGTAGTATCAACTACCTGTCTACTAGAATGTTTGTTCTAGTCGGATGGTGATTGAAAGCAATGTTTGTTCACTTTTCTTTTCTAGTTTTAAATGAGAGAATAAGAGGAGGGAAAAAAGAGGAAACACATAGCTCAATCAATTCTATCCATTGATCAACAAGTAATAGAGTTCGAATCGCCGCAAGAACAAATTTCAACAAAGTCACGACCTTTTTTTTTTATGTAAAAAGTATTGCATAAATATGAAGAAAAAAAAACCGTCAGTTATAACATAAAAATTATGATAAATTCAATAAAGTAATCGAACATAAGAAACTTTATTTTTTGTCAACTTATTAAACAGAAAATTTATTTACAAAAAATTATCTATTAACCCCGTGTAACATGATATAAATTAAGTTTATATTTATTCCATATTGCTTGTAACCATTGATATTTTGTTCCTGCATAGTTAACAAGAAATGGTTCTTCAAAAGCATGATCAAAATCAAGATGAGGTCTAAATTGTTTTAAAAGATGAAAAGAATATTTTTGTTGTTTTAAATAAATAAGATCAGTTTGAAAAGTACTTGGAAGTATAACAAATACTTGTAGATTATTTAGTAAATTTTTATTGAATATATTTTCAATTGTTAAATCAAATTCTTCACGTTTTGCACCTTTAAGATCAATTATCGCTGTTTCGAATTTTTGTTCATATTCAAATTTTGACATTGGTATAGTTAAATAGCCTGGCGGCATATATGTATGATAAGTGACAAGAAAGTTCTTATTCGATGTTAACAGTGGAGAATTATGAAAATATTGTAATGCAGGTAAAAGACCACCTTGATGAAGATGACCAAAGATTATTGCAATAGATATATTAAATATCATCCATAAACGAAAGATATATTGATGAAGATTATGTGTAATTAAAAGAGGAACGATAAATAGTATCAATGGAAATAAGAGTGGAAGAAGAAATCGAGGTTCTTGGTGTGGAAATGTTGATAATGGAATAAATGGTACTAAGTAAAGATAGAGTAACAGAGGAGAAGTTGATTGTTCAATTTCGATTATTGATCTTCTATTAAAAATTCGATTAATTATCCATTGTCCATTTTGTTTGATACTAGAAATATTTATTAAACACCATAGAACCGTACATATATGAAGTGGCCCATATAGAATTGTTGCATTAACGATAAAATGAAGCCATGGTGGATGTAAACCATGTTTATCTAAATTCGTTGAGTCAATATTATATAATATAAAATTTAATGGACATATAATTAAACGATTTTTTAAATCAACTATAAATGATAGCCCATTATTATAATAATATGAATCAAAAGAAATTATTAAACTTGATGTTAAAATAAATGCTCCAATAATAAATGATATAATTCGACTTAATAATAATTGAAAACGAAATGAATGATTCATTGTTGGAATTATATTTGTAAACCAATAAATAAGAGGAACAATAGCAAATGCTGGAAATGTTGGACGATTAAAAATACCTAATGAACAAACACAACCAATTAATGATGAAGTTAAAATTAAATGACGATTAAGAACTATTGTTTTATGATCAGATGTATTTATGATGATTGTTAATAATGATGAAACATTAACAGTAATAAGATAAATAAGAGTAAGAAAAAGAAAAGCTTCAAATGAATTTGATAATGTTCGTGTAAAGAAAACAACTAATACATGTGCTATACCATAATAATTCATTATTATTCCATATTGTTTTGATTTAAAATTTGGATAGAAATTTTTTATTAAACGATAAAAGAGAATATCGGAACATAATGATAAGGAGAGTATAGTAGCACGTGGAAAAATTAATTTAAGATGAAATGGTACTGATGACCAATGAAGTAATGATGATAACCATGAAAGTATTGAAACAGGCAAACCGTAAAGTAAATAAAGAATAGCAACTGAACGAAGAGGTGCTGCTGGATTAAATTCATGAGTTCGTGTTAAATTTGTTAGAAATATATCATCTATTAGAAATAATATATAGAAACATGGGGAGGTCATATTATTTTTTTTACTAGAACGATAGGGTGTGGGTGTGGGTGTGGATGTGGGTGATGCGTTAAGACTCGTTTATAGTACAGCTTCATCGCATAGCATAGCGTAGTACATTTGTCTGAACCACCAATACAAAGTTTTATCAAGAGTGTAATGCTCAAATTATTGATATAAAAGCTGTAGTAGATGTGCCTTAGTATGGTAGAAAAAATAGCTAATATACTCCTTATAGATTAAACAAATGAAACTTTTTAAAAAATGGCACCTGTAGGTGCCATTAGGAAAGAAAAGGTTAAGAAAATATTGATACATACCAAATACAACTTCTGGACCTTGGAAAAACTCATCCTAAATGATAAATCTCATGAATAATACATTGACATATATTTATTCTTACTGGATGAATGTATCCTTGTTGTGGATAAACCAATGTCCAAATAATACGAATAATTACACCAATAAAATACCAAATAAATTCTGATTGATACGTATATTTAGTAAGAAATGATGGTACACAAATCGATCTTTTAACTTTTTGTGTCGCATTAGTATCACCTGATTGTTGTGCTACTGTTGTGCTTTTCATATATTATTTTATAGTAGATAGATTAACTAACGAATTTATTTTAGCGCTCAAATGAAAAATTAATCTTAAAAATATGCAAATATGTTTTATTTTGCCTAAATCAAACAAAAAACTATCTCTTTCTTTTATTTATTTATTTATTCAAACGTGTCCATCGTTCACTAATTAACCATAAACGTTTTGCTTCTTTTTCATTGGTAGCATTAGGTGCAATTGCTTCGTCTTTCATATCACTATAGATAAATAATCAAAAAATATTGATGATAGAAACATATATATATTTATTAATCAATACTTAAAATATTTTCCACATTGACCTTCAAGTTGTGGATCAAGAGCACATTGAATTACACCTTGAGCACCTTGCATGGGTGTTTTCATAAATGCTTTTAAAGCCGGACCAATTATAACACGACTTATTATAGATTTATCAATTGTATGACGTGCAATTTCAGTTCGAGTTATTCCAGGATTGACACAATTAGCGATTACACCTGAGCCTAATAAGAATGACAAAAAACTTTTTATTTATCTGATTTTGTTATTTAATTAAACCTGGATATTGTCGACAAAATTCTTGTGTAGCTAAGACAATAGCAAGTGAAGCTTGCTCATAAGCTATTTTTGGATTAAAAACTTTTTTTGATATATTTAAATCATCAAAATCAATTTGTCCACGTTTATACATTGGTGATGTTAAATTAACAATTCGACTTGGTGAACATTTACTTAATTTTTCTATCAATAAATTTGTTAAAAGAAAATGTCCTAAAATAAAAAAAATTTGAATTAAAAATTTGAATTTTCTTTTTAACTCCTCACACCGAGATAATTAACACCTAAATGTTGTTCAAAACCATCTTTAGTTAATTTTGATGGATGCCACATCACACCAGCATTATTAATTAATAAATGAAGAGATTTTTCATTTTGATTTATATCATCAGCAAAACGTTTTATCGATTCAATTGAAGATAAATCACATTCTCGACAAACAACATTCGTATTAAATGAATCAGCAACGATTTTTTCTCGAGTTTGTTCACATTTTTTCATATCACGACAAGCCATTATAACACGAGCACCTCATCGAAAAAAGAAAATACAATTCTATCAAATTAATTGTTCAATTATTATTCATACCTCGTCGAGCAAAATCATGTGCGACTTCTTTTCCAATACCTGTATTAGCACCTGTAACAATAGCTGTCTTACCAAATAATTGTTCATTGCCTGTATATTGTGCTTTGACGAAATATTCTCTTGTTAATCAAAAGCAAAATTATTTTGTATGATTGTAAAGAATTTTCAAAATTAACGTACCGATAAAGTACTAAGCCACCATAGATGCCTGCGGCACCGGTGAGCGTAACAGTGACGGTTCGCATAAACGACATGATCTGAAACCGAGATCCGGACCTCTTGTTTAAATAATCTTAGTTTGCATTTGATAAAAATGCTTAGAATTATTTTTTTTTAATATAGTTTCATCATCTTTTTGTTTATATAGTTTTTATAAAATTCTTACAAGATTTGTTTTTTATGTGTGTAAATAGAATACGAAAGAAATAAACAGAGAAATAGATCGCAAAAGAAACAAAGATGACAACATTAACAACAACAACAACAAAAACTACACTCAATAAAATATTGTCTGCTATTTCTCTTTTTTTATATCTTTCAATCTATACACACATACAAATAGACGCACACGCACAAGAAGAAGAAAAAAAAATGAATCTGAACTCACAAATCTCTTTTTTTTCTATCGTCCAAGATCGACAGAAGAAAAAGAAAAAACAAACACAAATGACGATGATACGTACATATACATAAATAGATAGATTGAATAAGGAGGAAAAGTGCACAAAACAAAAAAAAAGAAAGAAAACGAAAGAAGAAAAAATAAAGAAATACCATGTTCGAACATGCGCACGTACACAGAGATCATCAACGAATGTTCTTCTCGGTTAATAGAAAAAATTTATTTGATTTATCTTATTTAAGTCTATTAATATATGTATATATATATAAATATATGTGTGTGTGTGTGTGTATACGATTTTGAAACGACACCTGAGTTGAGAAGACGTATGAAAAATAAATTTTTCACATTGTTGTTTGATCATTACTACGTTTAAATACTTTAGTTTGTTCATTAGTATCGTTTGATAAAGTTATATTATCATCATTCGATATTAATGAAGAAGATTGTTCATCACCACCAATATCTTCTCCAATTTTACGTTTACGTGTTGATGAATATGAATCACTGTTACTACTATTTTCATTTAATTGAATAGATTTTAAATTTACATCATGATCTATTTCCGTTTGTTCTTCTTCTTCCTCTTCTTCGTCTTCGTCTTCGTGTTCTTCATCGTTTTCATCATCATTATATTGATCGGCAATACTCGATAAACCAGGACTCTAGATAATTAATAGACATAAATAGATAAAAGAGAGTGAAATATTTCTTTTTTTTATTTACCATAGCATATGTAGATGTGGATTCAGTTGGTGTCATTGGTCGAGGTATTGATGAAGTCGGAGAACCATTTGTTGCCAATGGTGGTATATCAATTCGAAGTGTTGTTGAATCATTTTCCGCACTAGCAGATGATGATGGAGATAACTGACCAACAGAAGATATAGGTGAACGTCGAATATGAATACTGATTACAGGTTTATTATACTGTGAACGTAATGATGTTGAAGCTGTTTCGGTCGATGTCGTTGGTAATTCATCATCATCATTATCTAATAGAAGATGATGTGATCGAATTGGTTCATTGGTTGAAATTGCACTACTAGTTCCACTTGTTTCTGGTTGACTGTCTTCATCATCCGAGCCACCATTAAATAATGTACCATGATTAAGTGATGATATTCGATTTTCATCACCATCATCATTAAACCAATTTTCTTCATCAGCATCAAGCTCTCGATCATCTTTTCGAAGACGTTGTGAGGGATGAGTATGTTGAATAGGTAATAAATGATTATTATTTAGATTGTCGTGTAAACGTGAAGTGCCTATCGATGAACTAAAATAATAGAAAAATATTTATATGAATTTTTGTTATACATCTAGACATGACCCAAACCCAAACTCAAATTCAAACTCGACCTCAAACTCAAACAGTTTGGGTTTGGGTCATGTCTATATACATCAGAGATCGTCAGAGGGCAAGGTAACCCTGCCCCAGGGTGGCATGACAAAATTTATTTGCCGTTTTGCAGGGCAGGTCAAGAGGTAAAATATGATGCGATTATTATAACTTACGTATCGTGAAGCATTCGTTCTCTTCTATCTCGATGAGCATCATATCGTAATTTTAAATCGTGAAATGTTTTTACATAAGATATTGATTCAAATTCTGAATAGAAGTTTTCAACAAAATAATTGATTAAAGTTTTTATATCTTCCTAAAAATGCAAAAGAAGATTTTTGTTTTTGTTTTCAGGAAAAAAATAATTCATTGTTTTTACTTGTCGAATAAATTCAAACAATTCAATTAAAGCTGAATTTAATAAATTATAACGTCGTTTATTTGCTTTGAATGTATCAACAATTGGTGCAAATAAATTATTGCGAACGATGGTTATATTATACTGTTCATCTTTAAGAGCAAGAATTTTTCGCAAAAATCGAAGAGCACCTAGAAAAAACAGAAATTCTTATTTTATTCAAAATAAAATTTTTTTTAAACATACTAAGTTGAAGATATTGATGTTTAGATTTTAATAATACAAGTACACGTCGTAATAAATCTTTTTTATTAAGAAAATTTCTCATATGATATGTATGATGTTCAACACAAAATGTAACAAAATCAAGAATTAAATTTTGTAATTGAGCTAAATGAAAATCATCTCGTATTAATTTTAAATCAGACGTATTGGCCATAAGTGGAGCAAGTAATACAGACATAGAACGAAAATAAAAAAATGATAAAAATTCCGTTTTTTCACTTATTGATACAGCCATCATATTTTCAGGATCAATTAATAATTTAAGATAATTCATTAAATTAAGTGCACCACTTAGTTCTAAAGAAAAAATTTCGATTTTATTTTATTTTTTGTTTTCGAAAAACAAAAATACCTGGATCTGGATCACTTTGAATTTCATTTATAACAAGATTGAGAAGTAATTCATCATCATCTTGAGTTGATTGAGTTTCTTGTAACATATATTCACGTACTGTTGATGGATTACATTCAACTATAGAAGCAAATACATCTAATGCAGCTTGTTTTGTTGTTGTATCATCAAGACTCTATTGATTTTATTGGAAATGTACGGTTATTTGTTTAGAAATAGTTTGATAACTTACAAGCATTACTTGAATTACATTTAGAATACCATGAGTAGCAAGTGCCTAGAAAATTAACAAAGTCATTTGTAAGATTTTACTTATGATTATCTATTTCAATATGATAGAAAATATTAGTTTATTATATTTGCTCTTTGATATATTGTTATGACAGAGAGTCAAACAAAGAGGATGTCTGTTTTCCCATCCTATGTAATTATTTAATAGAAGCTCATCAAAAGTATCAATAAATATGACATTTGACAAAAGGTTGAGGTCAAACAAATACGAATGTTGCAACTTTTGAGAATAATTTATTGAAAACTTTCATTGCAAGAAATAGAAACTGTATGTTCCTATACATTCAAAATACTTCAAGATGTCTAATTTTTTTTAAGAAATAGTTTTCCTTCGAAATAAAAGTTTAAATTCTCTTGAACAATCAAGTTTTGTCCCAATCGATAAGTTGTTTGTTATCGTTATAGATGAAATAAAGGGTAATTTTTCGAGTCTATAAGAGATTTTTTGCATTATAAAATTATCACGAGAAAAACTTGTATCTAATAGAATGAGTTCTCTATTCCGTAATTAAATTATACTTACTTGAAAAAAATTATCTCTATTTTGTTGTTGTAATGTTTGTGAAAAAACACAAAATTCTTTAAGAAACAACATAAGATC